GGTCAAATGGGACCTCTAATCCCGGTTTTTTGAGGAATCTCCACATTGATTTCCACAGTGGTTGCACCAGTCTACACTCCCACCAACAGTGGAGCAGTGTTCCTTTTTCCCTGCAGCCCTGCCAGCATTTGTTATTTGATGATTTCTTGATGACAGCCATTCTTTCTGAAGTGAGATGGAATCTCAGTGTTGTCTTAATTTGTGTTGCTCGAATGACCAGTGATGGTGAACATTGTTTCATATATTTATTTGCCATTTGTGTTTTTCATCTGGGAACTGTGCATTCATCTCCGATGCTCATTTTTTTTACTAGGTCTTTGAATTTGGGTGTTCTGATTTTTTTCAGTTTTTATGTGTTCTAGATAGAAGTCCTCTGAGGAACAACTGCCTAAGATTTTTTTCCACTCTGTGGATTGTCTTTTCACTCTGTTGGTAATTTCCCTGCTGAGCAAGAGCTTTTGAATAAATCGAGACTCCAGTTGCTGATTCTTTGAAGTATTTCTCGTGCAGGCTGGATTTTGTTCATGAAGTCTTCGCCTACAGCTACGTCTTCAAGGTTTCTACCTATTTTCTCTTCCAGCAAATGTAGCGTTTCTGTTTTAATATTTAGATCTTTGATCCATTTTGACTTTAGCTTAGTGCATGATGATAGAGAGCCAGTTTTTCCATGTGCTAGGATTTATGTGAAATTCTCCATGGAAAAGGAAGAGCTGCACCTGGGATGTTGTTGGAATCCCCGTGGAGGAGCAAGGCCTTTGGTCTTTGTGAAATGTACATCCTCTTGGTGCTGGCTCTCCTCTGTACAGCAGAGCTCTGCAGCTGGGACCCCAGACTCATGCAGATGGAGCTGGATATCACAGAGTTCTTGGCTAACCTCTCCCACAGATTCTTCTTATTAAATGCCAGACATTTGGCATGAACTCTAAACAAACACCGGAGAGCAAAATTGACTTAAGTATTGTGTTGGCAGAAACCCAATAAGAAATATTTATATTTTAAGGGTTGCATTCCTTTTCTCGTTCTCCCTCTCCTTCTCCTCCTCTTCCTCCTTCTCCTCCTCCTTCTCCTCCTCCTCTTATTTCTTCTTCTCCTGTCCTTCTTTGATCACAGCTTATATTTTGGTGCCATAGAAGAGGATCTCTCTCCCATTTCTGCATGTAAGAACATCATGGAAGTCTAGCAATGAACATCCCACATCTTGGTTTGTAAGCATTTAAAATGTGCACAAAAGCCTGCCAGCTGCGGAGCAGATGCCCCAGAGGCCAGAAGCATTCAGCATAGAGAGGCAAGTTGGGCCAAAAAGATGTTTGAGCTAGACAAACTCAACCTGAAGAGGAGATCAAGGCCACAAGATGGCAAGCTCCATGCCATGCAGAGCTCCCTTCTCGGGAAGGAACACTGCAGAGCCCAGTCTGGGAGGGGAGCAAAGGACACAGACATTCCCCTGAGGGCTGCGAAAAATAGTGTAGCCCTGAAGGACACATGTCATGAGTGGCATAAAGCTTTACGCTGAGTAACCTTGTGTTGGACACTTACTTCATCAAACCGCTGTTAACCAATAATCTCAAAAGAGCAATTAAAAACTAACTTTTAAGTGTAGACTCCCTGGATTCAGAAATACACAACTTAATGGGGAAGCTTATGATCTAGAACAAAAGGCAGCAGAATTTTTCATAAAGCTCAAAAGAGCGAATGCCTTAGGCTTCGAAGGCCGTGAAACTCCTGCCGCACTACCCAGTTCTGCAACCACAGAAGGAAAGTAGCTGAGATGATGTGTACACAGATGGACTTGCTGTGTTTTTATTTACAAAACAGGCCAATCTGAGACGAGGCTGAATTTCCCCAATCCTGCTCTAGATCATTCATAATTTCCTCCTGCAAAAGTCACCCTAAAGCAGGCTGGGTAGCACACGCCTGCAACCCCAGCACTCAGTGGCTTAGGCAGGAGGACCGAGAGGCTGAGGTGAGCGTGAGCCACACAGGGAGACCCCATGTCATAGATGGACAGACAGACAGACAGACAGATAGGCAGACAGACAGACAGGTGGAATCGCCCCTAAGCTGTCATAATCAGCCATATAACAGAGTGAGTTTGGGCTTCCTTTCAAAACCTCAAACTTCTTGTTTGTTTATTTTTTTAAAAAAGGCAAAAGATGGGGGCTGGGGACTTAGCTCAGCGGCATAAGCGCCTGCCTTGCAAGCAGGCAGTCGTGAGTTCGATCCCCGGTACTGATAAAAATGAAAAACACACACACACACACACACACACACAAAGGCAAAAGAGAAAAAAGGATTGAAATGATGCTGAATTCTTAAAAATAACAGTAGAAAAATAATAACAGTAACATGTGCCTGCTTGGCAAGTGCAAGGTTGTGAGTTTTACCCTTGATACCTCCCCTCCAAAAAAGAAAAAAGAAATTATTTCAAATAAATGAAAACAAAGAGTTCTCTCATCTTTTTCTCATGTTCCATACAGAATTTCTGGGACTATTTCTATATCCTCAAATCATTTTCTTTTTACTAATAGAAACACATTCTTTCACGCTGTCAAGTCCATTCAATTTTTTAACCACATTTTTTGACTCATAACCGTGACACATAAGGTGATAACATTTTTAACTTAATCAAATATCCATTAGAATTGGGCTTGCAGTCCCCCTCTGAGGTTTATTTTCTTCTAATTTCATGAATTCATATTACCCAGTAACCAAAATACAGCGGAAAGCATCTGCTCATCTAGGCTGGAATTATCTCCTTGAGGAGCATCAGAATGGAAAGAAAGGAAGCCGTTCGAGTCCTTCAATTAGAAGAGGCAGAGAGACAGAACATCTTTAGGGAAATAAGACATGAAGCCTAATAAATACCAGACACTGCAGGGAACTTGGCACTTTTAAATGTTATGCAACAGAATAATTTTCTCTCATGTTACAGGCTATCAGATGAATACTGGTTCAATAAACAGATGATTTAACTTGGGTTAATTCCTGGAAGGGGTAATTTATAACTTTGAGTCTGGGTTTAGTTCTTTGTCTCTCAATAAATGGTAAGAATGCTTCAAAGCTTTCAGTCACATTTCAAATCTAAAACTCCAGCAAAACAGCAATATTTTAAAGATCTAGAAGGAGCCATGCTGTCCAGGAAAGTGGAGTTACATTCAAGGTGGGCACTGATAATCGCTCCATATCAGTCAGTCAGACAGCCAATCACATTATTCTTTCTGCAGCCAAAATTTGGAGCGCTGTACCTCAGAGACACCAATTCAGTCTCCCCAAAGCTGAGAGGTAATTGTCATCTCTGCATTGTCTCAATTCTCTCAGTTTACAAATGAGGGCTTTAAGTCACATTTGGGTTGCAGAATCTTCCCAAGGGCTAAGCACACGTCTCCTATCTGTGCCCTTTTTATTTCTCTGTTTCAAGCACTGGATACTCAGGGACCAGGGTGGGGGGCGTGGCCAAGCTCTGTGTGAAGCAACTGCTGAAAGCCAGGAGCTGCTGCTGAGTGCTGAGAATTCCACAGTCATCAAGGCAGGAGAGGCTCTGCTGGGACATTTCACCTCCCTGCAGCAGGAAGACCTTTAAGGGAGACAGACACACGCAAAACGGTAGCTAACAGCTGATGAAGTGGGCCATATTTCTAGCTGTTAAATTGCATGCGTAAATTTGTCCATTTCCCTCGCTACTTGTAAGGGCAATCCTACAAGCACTCTGGCACACAGTGGGTCAGTGGTGGTGGAAATATGGCTGTTAACACGAAAAGCTAAAAGATCCGCCACCACTGCATTAGGTATTTATTGGAGGAAGTGCATTGACCTGAAATTTTGCCAGTCTGGTTTTCCAAATAGCCACAAGGTGGCAGACGCTTGCAAGAAATCAGCGTCAACCTGACCTGCTGATTTCTGCATCGTGATAAACGCCAAGACCAGCAAAGTGTTGCCTTTTTCATGAGAATTCTAATAAACTGGAAAGCAAATTATAGTATTAGAATGTGCATGCACCCAGTTGTTTTTTCAGAGGCTTTTTGAAGCTGTGAAAAGGAAATATACAAAAATTGACTAGGTACCCAAGAACTATGGAATCATTTCCTCTTAAGAATTAATTCTTCTTTAAATAACAATGCTTCCTGCCTCTAAGCTATGTCTCGGATTTGGCAAATTTCAAAGTCGCATGATGAATGTAAAGGCACTATGAATTCCCCAGGTGAAACGGGGCCCTCTCTGAAGCTAAGTTGCCTAAAACCCAGATTTTGGAACGGGAAGTGTGCTTGTAGGGCTTTTCCAAAGTAGCTGAATCTGGAGTGTGGGACACTGGGGTGAAGGGCCAAGTGTCACCCCCACCCCAGGGCAGGGCAGCCTGGAGGCAGGCAGTGTAAGGGACAGAAGGAGGCTCGTGTCTCTCTGTGTCCTCCTGCTGCTTTGGCTGGCTGCTGCCACCATGAATGGTTGCCCTTCTGCTATGTACCACCCTGCCTTGGAGCCAGCCCACATCCTGAGAGCAGACATGGCCTTGGGACTTGAGATGCTGCTCATGTCAGCAGATAAATCCTCCCTGTCCTCATGGAGGTCAGGCGTGACGGTGTGACTAGCTTTTGCCATTGACTCCTAGAGAAGCATCACCTGTGTCACTTGTGAGTACTTTAAAACCCTGCTCACCACCAGCATCCACTGGGCCCCTCCGGGGTCCCCAGTGCTGTGGCCTCACAACGGCCTGTGGTATGGGTGAGAAATAAACATAAATTGCTGTCTGAGATCGGGCACTACTTTTTACTGTAGCATCACTTGTAGTCTAAGATGACCACCGATGCACTGTCTCCCACAGGAGCTGTGAGAATGAGACAGGTAATCGCTATAAAATACTCAGCCCCACCTGTGTTGCATCTCAGGCAATACAGACATGCAAAGCTGTTAATGTCCTTCGTCATTATTCATCCACTAATTCATTCTCCTCCTCGCCACGCTCATGACAAAAGCACCTTTAGGTAATGTGTGACTTCCTCTCCCAGGTGCGGGCATCACTCAGAGGCGGACAATGAGACTAAGATGCAACAAAGAAGCTCAGACACCCGCTTTGCAGTCAGCAATGGAAACTGCGGAAGATGCAGTGCCAGCCACAGGATGCACTTGCTTAGGAATATTTATTGGACAATTAGTGCTAATGTCCTGATGCCACCATGGTGCCTCTGTGGCCTCCATTATTCAGGAAATACTGACTGCCAAATATAGCCCACAAGCAATTACTTAACCCAAGGTATCCTAATTCACTTAATTTAATTCCACTGATGATTTTCTTCCTCCACTAATGACAGTGAGTTCTCAGCATCTAACCGAAGAAAATGCACACTGTACTCCCCACACCAGGGCAGAATAACAAAGCCAGGCTTATCAGATACCAAATTAGCATTATCTTTTAAAGCTCCCTGACATCTGTGCAAGAATATCCCAATAACGCAAATTCACTGTGATGCCGACTTAGTGTTTTTGGTATAGTTCTGAGTGTTTGCTGTTACCAAGGAACCTCACATCAGATGCATGCTCTCACCTACAGCTCCTGCTCATTCCCTCAACCCAGTTTTTCCACCCAGTCGAGCCATTCATTGTAATATTTCCAACTGGCCCCTTTAAAGAGAAAACAAAATGGTTCCACACTGTCATCCTTTCACAGGAGGATATGAGAGCCCATTCGCCTACAGGACCTTCTAAGGCCCAGGACACGGAAGCAGATAGGACCCAAAAGTCGCAGGCATTCCCCAGAATCATGCCATAGAGGTTCCCGCCCTCACTCCCTGGCTCTGACCCTCGATGGGAAGCATGTCCAGAGGAGTGACCCCTACATAAGACAGTCTGATCATTAGTGCCCAGCACGGCGGAGAGAAGGCAAGGCACAGAAGTAGAAACAGAGGAACTACCCGAAATTAGTTGGTAGAGAAGAATGTTTATTCTGTCTCCCACAACATGACTCCACAAGACTGCAACCAGATTACCCCAGCAGAACTCTAGAGCTTCTCTGGAGACTTGATTCCTTAAGGAAAGGCCGGATAGCCCACTGGACAGAATCTGTTTGGCACCTGCTGTGAAAGCCATTTCTTCACAGCTCTGTCCACAAGCTCATAAAGCTTGCAGGTCGCTTGTAAGTATCTTAGTCTTCATTACAAAAGAACAGCCACGAATTCTCAGGTATGGTGAAACCTTAGGTTGAGAGGAACTTGTTCTGCTAGTGTTCCACAAGGCAAGCAAGCATTTCTAGTACACGTTACCTTGAAAATGAGCAGGGTTGAGAGGAAAAGAAAGTGCTCTAAACTATATAACTGCATGTATATTTAAATGTATAAGATAGAAAATGATATCACAGAGTTTTATTGGATCATTGAACAGAACTGTTTGCAGTATCATTGTTGGAATGTCCACTCTACAAGCTTTAATTTTGTGACTTGAACAATTATTTCTAAGATGGCAATATGTAATCCATTAACTAGTGATTTCCTACTGCGCATTTTTTTATTCTGTAAATCTGTATAACTGGTAACCCTTCACTGTTTTTTTTTTTCTTTCTTTTCTTTTCTCCTTAAATAAAAATTTAAAAAAAAAAAAGAAAAAAGAAAATGAGCAGGGTCTCCCAATATAGGTCGCAGATGATGACAAATGTCACCCAAGCACCACTGAACCAACGGTGCTTTTCTCTCAGTTCAGGATTGTGGGCCATCCATCAACCCCCAACAGCAAGAGGTTATGGAGGGGATCTTGTCTGCAGAGGAGGAGGAGAAAATGTGGAGAAATCCCTTGCAAAGTGTTATAGAAAATGTTGCAATATATGTAAAATGTTATAGAAAAGTGCCACCTGAATAAGGCTATAGTGACATAGCTGATTATTCTGCTTAATGACAAGGTGATGTCCCATTTCCATGAAATCCTCAAAAGGAGGCAAAAACAAGTGTCACTGGACAGGTTCCTTGTCAGATTTGCACAAAAAGAAATAGAGTGCAAGGATCCAATAGATAGCAGTGATTCCATTAGTGGTGATGAAATTCAGCCCACACAACAGCCCTCCTCTCTCTTGGCTCCCTCTTACCATCCATGCAAGTTTTCAAAAGTAAGTACAGGGGCTGGGGATTTAGCTCAGCGGCATAGGTGCCTGCCTTGTAAGCAGGCAGTCCTGAGTTCGATCCCCGGTACCGATAAAAAGGAAAAAGACAAAAAAAAAATACAGATTAATCTGTTTATTTTTCATTATATTTTATATTTTTATTATGACTTTGTACTATATTACAGTACTGTAATGATTTTTATGTGAATATTTTTGGGTTGTGGAACAAATTGTCTGAGTTTCCATTATTTCTTACAGGAAAATTTGCTTTGGTACACAAGTGCTTTTGGATTACAAGCATGTTTCCAGAATGAATTATGCTTACAAACCAGGCATCCGATGGTATTTAAGTAAACTTGCAACAAGACCTAGAGGAGACTGATGAGAAAGACATTGGGAGAAAGAGATGGTGCAGAAACTAATGATGTCAGCATGAAATGAACATCCTCAGAGCTACTGGAAAAGAGAATATGCTCATAGGATAAGACCAAGGAGATCTAAAGCAAGCAGCACAGAGCAAGAGAGATTTCTTAGGGATTCAACTGTATCAGCAATCTGTAGATTTCAGTGGAAGATTAGAACATAACACGCACGACATCCTAGAAAGTGAAACAAAAATTTCAAAAAATAGAAAACAGAAGAAAAACGAAAAGGCTCTCAAACCAGGAGAGTTCTCAACAGTTCTGAAATTCCAGAAAGAATAAAAGGGAAAGAATTATCAGAGACGGTAGAGAATTTTCTCCAGAACTGCGGACCGTAAGTCTCCAAACTAAAAAAGCACAGTGAATGAAAACATCACGAGAAAGCACAGAAATGTCAGAGTTCAGAGATACAGAGAAGACGCTGCAGACGTCTGAGGAGGAAATGAACAGATGGGGGCAGGAATCCACACAGCAAAACTAGAAATACAAACGTCAGGCTTCCCAGTTATCGAAGAAAGATTATTCTCAGTCTAGTGTTTCACACCCAGTTGACCTATGCATCAGAGAAAAGCACAGAGTAGACATTTTCAGACTTTTGTTAAGCAGTCTTTTATGAGAGTCAAGATTAAAAGAGGAGACATGGAACCCGACCTAAAGGGGTCATGGGGAGCCCCTGTGGAACATCAAGGTCACAGGCCAGACAGCTGCAGATGAGAGAACGCAGCCCATGCGACGAAGGACGCCCTGCATGTCAGTTTCCATTGCTGTGACAAAGTGCCTGAGATAATGAACTCAAGAACCAGGAAAGATTCATGCTGTCTCACGGTTTCTGAGGCTTCAGTCCATTGTCACTTGGCCTGGTTACCACGGGCCTGCCGTAAAGCACGGCGTGGTGACCACACCTGACCTATGGGAGTAGAACAGAGAAAGGAGCAGGGTCCCAAAGTCCCCTTCAAGGACACGCCCCTGTGACAGCATCTCTTCCCCGTGGCCCTGGACACTTCGCTCCCCAAGAGTCCTACCGGTTGCTGAGCAAGCCTTTCACACACAGGACCCTGGGGGATACTCCACATCCAAACTACAGCACATTGTCAACAAAACCTGAACCAAAGGATTTTATGACACCTTGGAAAACACAATTTACAGTCACTTGGAAAACAGCAGGAATGATCATTTCAGAGAACAAATGTTACAACTTTCTGTTGTGTGTTTGATTAGCAGAATAGCTTTTGGCCATGCCTTGCAGAGCGTTCTAATTTTTTGTTTCACTGACTATAGGTAGAATCAAAGGAGGTCTTGCCAATGTAACAAGCTTTGGAGGCTGCAGAATGCTGGGCTGCGGGTTCTGCTGGAGGGAAATGACTTAGTTACGGAACGAGGAATTCCGTGAATATTTACCACAGTGCTAGCACGGGGCACCAATGAGATACGTGAGATTAATCAATTAACCTTTGAATCAAAACAATGGAGCAAATTTGAGAATTACTGCAAATGTTCAAGGCATAAGAGGGGGCAGCTGCTTTAATAAGGGAGGACAATTTGTCACTCATTAGACAGCTCACTAAGCCATCAGCTGCACAGTAATTAAGACCAGCTTTGTGTGCCTGTTACACCTTGTACATTCCCACATGACTCAAAATAGAATTGTACTGAACGCTCCACTTTCAGGATCATAGTGCATATACTTAGGAGCACTGTCTCCATGCTCTTAGCCCAAAAGAATACCAAAACCCATGCTTTTCCATTTTTATGGGGTGTTCACATTAATTACATGTTTAAGGCACAAATACAAAAATGATAGCATTTCTTCCTTCCCCTCCTCAATCACTGGGGACTGAACCCAGACCCCTCAAACTAAGCTACATCTCCAACAATTTTATGTTTTGAGATAGAGTCTTGCTGAATTGAGTCAAGCTTGAGTCAAGCTTGAGATCCTCCTGCCTCAGCCTCCCAGAGTGCTGGTATTACAGGCATGCACCACCAGCCTAGCTGACAGCTGACATTTCTATGGTGCTCATTCCATCCCAGGGTCATTCTAAGAATGTTACCAATATTATCTCACTTAAAACTCACTGAAAATCCCTGTGAGTTGGCCCACATATTGTTCCTATTTGACAGATGCAGAAATCAGTGTCACAGGAAGATGCATAACTTTTCCACCATCGACTGGCAAAGCTGGATTCCAACCCAGCAATCCATCTCCGAGCCAAACACTAACTGCTAGAAAAGGAAGAGCAGTGTAATTGTAAATACCTTCACGCCACGCATATTTCCTTCTGTGATTTCAAACTTTCCATCTATACAGCTTCTGGACTTTTGCTCCAAAATATGTGAGTTGGAAATAAACCAGCAAGTTTTCTGTTGCCTGACGGAGGCACACAAGTCTCCAGTTCTGGACACAACTCAGAAACCGTCGACTGCAGCACAGTGAATAGAATGCACAAAGTGACCGAGGCGGATGACCCACTGACTCACCCCGGTGGGAAATGCGCAGGACACAGCTCCGAGTGCTGGCGACTGCTAGTTTTCTGGAGCCGCCATGAGGAATCATCACAAACCTGATGGCTTAGAACAACAGAAATTACTCTCTCCGGCTTCTGGAGCCTGGAAATCAGAACTCCAGGGGTCAGCGGAGGGCTAGGGAAGAAGCCCTCCTCGCCTCTTGGGAGCCCTGGTAGCTGTCAGCAGCCCTAGTAACTGCTTCGTGGTTGTGGCCACCTCCTGCCACCCCAGCCTCCCCCTGCATCGCCTCCTTGGGGTGTCTCTTCCCTGTCTGTCTTCTGTGTGGACATTCGTCATGATGACCAGAGTAATTTCCTCATCTTACATTCCTTTATTAATTATAACAGCAACAAGGCAACACCCTGATGTCCCAGGCTCAGTACGTAGACATGACATGGAGAGCCAGTTTCAGAGCCATTCCCACAACCAGGAAACAGCACCGTAGCGTAAACACACAGCTAATGCAAAAGTGAAAGGGGCCAAATGAGAAAACTGAAAGACAGCAAACACGTGAACACACACACGCACATACGTACACACGCAAGAGACTGCAATGGTAGGTTTTTAAAAGGCACAGAAGAGGGGCTGGGGGTTTAGCTCAGCGGCATAAGCGCCTGCCTTGCAAGCAGGCAGTCGTGAGTTCGATCCCTGGTACCGATAAAAACGAAAAAGGCAAAAAAAAAAAAAAAAAAAAAAAAAAAAGGCACAGAAGAAAAGCCTGGAAATGCTGGAAACATTCAACATCGATGGGGTATTAAACTATTGTAAATATTAGAATATTGTGGCCAGTGAGGGACACACATATGAAAAGGGAATTAGCTTTGGAAAAACATCAATTAAATAGCTGGAAAGTAACGCCCTTAAGGTCTTGCCGAGTGTGGATCTGAGTAAGCACTGGAAAGGAAGAAGGGGGGCCGAGCCCCCCAGGCACAGCGCTCAAGAAAGGCAGAAGTGAGATTCTCAGCCCCAGGCGGTGGTGCAGGGCTAAGACATTGGCACTGACCGCAGGCGGGGCTGAGTGTGACATTTTTCACATTGCTAGAGCTAAGGGGACTGCGGGCCACTGTTGAAGGCCACGGGCTGGGCTATGTGGCTCTTACAAAGTGAAGTCCATACAACATTACCAATCCCTGAATGGCCTCTGCCTCTCTGAGGCTCATTCAAAGCCCGGTCATGTGAAGAAATTTAGCGAGTCTTGAGAGGCAGCATTCCTGCACCCCGAAACATGACTATCTGGGAAGCCATGGACGCCTTCTGGAGGTCCTGGACGTGAGGACACAAACCCTCAGTCTGGGGTGATTCACAGGAAGATTAACCGAGCTGACCCTCCAGGTCCTGCAGCTCCCCAGGTCTCCAAGGCCTAACCTCACAGACTCTGGCCACCAGATGAGGCCAGCAGGGTTAGGGCTAGGGTTAAAGTTAGGGTTAGGGTTAGGGTCAGGGTTAGCATTAGGGTTAGGATTAGGGAGAGCCAAGTCTCTGGGTTATCATCTCGTACACACAGTGATCCATAGTTCTTGTTTCAAAGAAATATTTTAGTGAATGCCATCCCCACATTCTGCCAGGGAGAGCAAAATTTTGGAAGCAAAATACTCAGGCCCTTCCTTGTTGCCCATCCACTAGTGCCCGGGTTGTGTCAAATTCTTTCAAATTCTTTGGTAAAATCCAATGAAATAGGCATACTCATTTGTCAGTGTGTTTGTATATACACACATCTATAATCATGTTTATATACATGTATATATATATATTTAACACCAAAAAATTTTCCTTTGAAAAAATTTACCTTCTCAAATGTGTGCCATCCTTTGCATCCAATTTTTCTTTCTTTTAAAAACCAACAGAGATATATAATGGTCATTTTTATTAATTTAGCTTCAATACCATTCCTTGGGAACGTTTTTAAATAACTGCATTTCTCAGTTGTCCACTGGAAGCTGTCTTTACTTTTTCACTCCTTTGCAAACTCTCCAGGCCTGGGAGCCCTGTTGATGGCTTTGCAGAGTTTTAAGGAGCTGTGAAAACCTGGTGAAGCTGTTTTTCAGGGAAGATAAAGCTTGCTCAGATCCCAAGACTTGCTGGGCAGAGCTTCAGGACCAAGGAGGGGCCAGGACCTGCACCCCAAACCTAGCTGCACCCCCGGTTTGTGTGACGGCTGGCATAGGCAGGGAAGAGGGGGGCTGAGCCATTTGGGCACACTGAGACAGAGGGGGAGCCAGAGTGCAAAGCATGGAGAAGTGATCCTTCCCGGGTCACTCTCTTCTCCCAGAAGGCCTGTCATGCCTTTACTGAACTAATTCCTATCCCTATCTTGCTTTAAGTTTAAATTTTAATTAGCATGTGTATGACACATATCAGACACACCCGTCCTGGGGAGTCCATGTGCCCACTCCTCAGCGAGTACTGGCTGGTTTTATGTCCTCTGTGCCTTTTATCCTAATAATATTATTTTTTTTATCCTAATAATATTAGTTTTAAGCTACGCTGTCATGGTATTTTCGGCATCGGAGTTATCTCATGCTAGCAGCCACAGTGTCCAGGCCCTTGCGGAGATTTCCTCTTGGGCCGGTTTTAGCGCATCTCCTGTCTCCCCCGGATTGAGGAAAAGGAAGCCGCCAGTTAGAAAATTTCCTGGGGTCAAGATTTTCCTGGGGTAGAAGATTTTACAGTTATGCAACTTGGCCATGCATTGACGTGAGCCTTAGTTTAAAATAAATAAATGGAATCCAGCGGGGAAAAAACAGTGAGTTTGTTAAAATGCATTATTTACATTTTTGAGAAAATTGATCAAGGATGAGAACCGAGCGTCGCTTCTAATGTCCACTAGGGGGCACTGCAGCCAAGGCACACAGGGTGCGGGCCGCCCCCTCATTTGACTGAAGCAGGGTCTTTTTAGGAGAAGAGCCAAAAGCGAATTACAAAAGGAAAGCCACGCTGTTTTTCGGCGGATCGGATTAGGCGAACAGTGCATGAGGCTGTCTTTGCTAAAAATAAAACTGATGCTAATCGATTTTTTCTGGCAGTAGCTGCAAAGTAGCTGACTCAGACACCCGAGGCGATAGGGCTGAGATCCCCACCCCCACCCCCGCAGGGACAGCTGATGTCAGAGCGACTCCTGCGGAGGGAGGTCTCAGCGGGGACCAGGGACCCGCAGTGCTGGAGAGGTCAAGTGGTCAAGTGCCTCACTACCCCCAGCCCTCCCCCCTCGTGTGACCAAGCCCATAGCAGGACAAGAAGAAGAAACTGATGCTATTGAAAAGCAACTAGTTCTCTGGGCTGGAGACGCCTGTGAGTTTGTGACGTGTGAGTTCGTGATTTCAAACCCCAGTACCGCTAAAAAACAAACAAAAAAAAAATAACTTAAATTTTTAAAAAGTAGCTATTGGTTCTTTTTGTGTGTGTCCCGCCTCCAGGCCCTTCGCAAGGAGCTACATCCCTAGCTCTTCTTTTTTTATTTTGAATAAAGAGTTCCCTAAGTCTCTGTGTTTCCCAGGCCGAACTCCAACTTGAGGTCCTCCTGCCTCAGCCTCCCACAGTGCTGGGATTAGAGGCCTGTGCCATCCAGCTCCGTGCAACTAACTTTCAAAAAAAGCATTTGGTTTACTAATTAAGGGAAAAGTGAATTTCTTAGCCTGTGAGTTGAAGAACATCGGAAGCCCAGGAGAAGGCAGGCAGCCAGGCACAGTAAGGGCGCCGGCTTCCAGCTCCAGATCCCCACCTCCTGCGCCCAGCCTGTGCTTCAGCTGCCAGGTTACTGGCCGGAGAGAAGGTGCCCGCACCCAGGCATCTAGCCTGGTGAAGATCTCGATTAACCTTGGTCTGGGTCGAAGACAACCCCACCCCACCCCCACCTCTAAGTGTGACTTTATGTGGAAAGAGAGGCTTGGCAGAAGTAATGGCGGGAAGGAGGTCATCAGGGTGGGCCCTAATCCAAGGGGACTGTCCCAGGAAACCTGGGCAGCACCCGTCGTGGAGGTGGATGCCGAGGAACCCCAGGACGGGCACCAGCCAGCAGCAGCCGGGAGGGGCGCGCGGACACCAGGTCCCCAGAAGAACCAGCCCTGCCTGCATCCCAGCTTGGGGAAATTAATTTCTGCTGATTTAAGCCCTGGAAGCAGACACAAACAGCCAGTTCAGAAAATGCAGAAATCTGGGAATGGAACACAGCGAGGTTCGACCCCCAATCTTCCCAATCCTAATATTCCTATTTTTAATATAAAACACGATTCTTGTTTCTAAGCATGCATGTCTTGAAGACATTGTCATCTTCCCCCACACATCTCCACCCCGCGTCTTTAACACACTGATCTGCCTCCAGTCTGGGATTGTCGCTGGGGATCAAACCCCAAGCCTCACACAAGCTAAGCCAGAGCTCCTGCCGCTAAGCTACACCCCAGGTCTCAAAGTATTCCCTGCAGACGTTCTCTTATTCTTCACGGTAGTTTAAAGGAAAAGATAAGAAAGTCATTCATGCAAGCTTCTGGGAATCCAGAGCAGAGCGTCAGATCCAGTCCTAATCGCACAAATGCCCAGGAGCACGAGACACAGATTCCCCAAGTGCTTTCCTGGACTGTGTCCCCTCTAAGTGTCACACAGCTATCTATATCCTATTCTGAATCACCCACCTGAAGAGAGAAGTTAACCCTCCCAAGTGATGCCCCGTGAGTGGTTGTCTTCGGGACACTGGGGCCAGCCACGCACAGCCCAATGGACACTTTGGTTCACGACAGAAGCGAAGATGATGGTGACCCCATGAGATTTAGTGGAACTGAAAGGTCCCCAAGGCTCCACGTCTACACTGTACTGCTTTCTCTGGTTGGATACCCGGAGACCCAGTGTTACCACAGCTCCCATTATGCAGTCCAAGGAGGTGGTGCTCAGGCTGACCGAGCAGGAGCAAGTGGCTGGGCCATCTGCCTGGCCTGTCCGCGTGTTCCCTCCACCTGGAGGATGCAGCTCTACGGTGCTGCGGGAGGGCGATTCACCTCCCTGCAGGGCCTCTCTCCAGGGCACACCCGACCCTGAGCAACACTGGCTGCATTTCGGGTAGCAACGTCTCTGATATTCTGAGAATTCATAAAACCTCAGATTCGGGAGTCCAAGCACTGATTCTCCTGCACCTGCAAGAATCTCTTCCTCCCCGCCTCCCGCCCTCTCATTGCATTCTGGAGAAGAGTTGATCCACCTTTTAGAATTATGGGAACAACCAGCCAATCAGCCGAGGAAGAGCTAAGTCTCCTCCAGCATCCCGGCCTGGTACTAATGTCCCTGAGGCAAGGAGGTCACCGGCTTGCTGTCTTGAGCCACCCCCATGGGCCACGTTCATTGTGAACACCCCAGCACTGTGGCAGAGATCTGGACAAAACCAGGAGAAAATCCCCTACACCAACCGCCGAGGGAAAGGAACCGGTTCCCTTCACTGTGCTTCAGCAGGGCTCGAACAGACTAAAATTTCCACAACTATTGAAGGAAATTAAAAGGAAATCATGGAAGTAAAAAAAAAAAAAAAGCTGAGTTTGTCCTCACGTCACAGGTCCTGTCCCCATCCTTACCCAGGCGCAGCACTCAGCTCCAGTGCTGGAGACACCTTGTGGCCTCTTCCGTTTACCGCTGAGTCATTTCCATGTAAAAGTGTCATCGACACTCCCCACCAGGCCAGTGTCCTGGCAACTTGCCTCCTGGGATCAAGGGCATCTTCAGCCCTTGGCCAGGTCTCCAGATGAGATGTGGATGATGGGGTCCGAGTCTCCTCAGACTTCCTGGCTTGTGGGGGCTGCAGAGAGTGATTTGGCCCCGTGCAAATCCTTACGATATGGGGGGTTATGAGCATATATTCACAAGCAGGTGAGGCACGTGGCCGGAGGGCCTCAGTGAACCCAAACCACCCGACAGGGAGGCACAGACTCCAGGCTGGCATGACAAAAGGTCAAAACACAACAGCCAGAAGGAAACAGTCAGGCCAGGAGAGGAACATGGGGTGGGGGCCAGAGCGAGCAGGGTTGTTGGAAAGAGGGGTGGCAGGCAGTGGAGATGGCATCCCAGAGGGAAAGGGCCAGGAACCCCTGCCAGAAGTGACTCCATAGCTCCAAAGAACGTGGGACTTCCCCCAAGTGGTGGGGACTTAGGGAGCAGAAACCCAGCAGACCAAATATAAACAGAGTGAGGCAGGGCAGGTGCAAAGCGCTCCACGTGGACCTTTGCCTGTGATTCTCACAGCCACCCTGTGCCACAGGACAGTCTGCTACCCACCATTCAAAAAGGAGGGGACAAGCCTGAAACACTAAGAAATGTGGCTGAAGCCAGAGACATAGCCCAAGTCATCGGTGATGGCAGCCACCATCAGCCACCAAGTAAGGAGTACTTACTGTGCGTGTGCGCCCCCACACCTGCACACAGACACAAACACACACACGTGCTCACACGTGTCTCACATGAATGGGAGGGAGCAGGCACTGAAAATCACCTAGAAGACATCAAGGACACGGGACGCAATGGGCAATCACAAAATACCAAGGGCTAGACTGAGCAGAAACAGATTCCAAAGAAGAAAAAATAATACCCCAGCCTGAGCGATACAGTCCCTTGAGTGAAATGCAGATAGGGGGTGGTCCAGAGGCAATGGGATGCCAAGAAGGTAGGCAAACTTTGAAGTCTGAGGACCGTGGAGGGCTTCTCCACCAAGGAGCAGGACCCGGACAGCCCTCTGGGAAGTCATGAGGACCAAGGAGAGATGTGAATTCCAGGAAAGACCCTCAGAGCAGAGGTGGCCAGAGAGTAGCAGAGAGGTCACCGGGACCAGAGCCACAGACACAGGCTGGAGAACGCGGGGGACAGCCTGTGTGGGACTCACCAGCGTCAGGGTCCCTCTAGCGTCCCCTGGCTTCCCTGTCCTCTGCACTTCCAGGGCCCTGGAGCCCTGGCCCTGGGTGAAGAGAAGTCCTTGGGACCACCGATGGGGTGGAGCAGGAAGGAGGCTGCTGGCCTCTGTGACAGCCCGGGCTGCAGACCTCCGGGGAGCATTAGCTGGGCTAGGAGGCTTACCCTGGCCAGACACAGAGAGGTAAGTAATCGGCTGACAGACATTCCTCTTTCCCCAGAAAATCTGAAACAGGACAGTTTGCACCAAGCGTGCCTGTATGTTCTGCTTGTTTGGTGAGACAAGAATTCCCCAAAGAGCAAGCCCCTAGAGTGTTTAAAAGCCAAAACCTCGCAGGGCCCCGAGGTACAGCGGAAACTGTGGGGTTGGCCACGTGAGTCATGTCAGCATCACTGCCTTCCACCTCTCTCTCATCCGGTGACGCTCTCTTCGCTCAGACTTCTGTTTAGAAGCTGGCTCACCCGGCTGCTAACTGCCTGCATGCATCCGCCCCTCCCTCTTGCACTGCTGGCTCCGGTCCTCACTCGGCCAAATCGTGTCAAAACTGTTCTGAGGGTGTTTTTAGGGTTCCAGGAAAACCCTTCTTTAAAAAGTCTCCCAGGAAAATGAGCTTGAACTAAATGCAACTGTAGCTTCTGTTCAGGTTCCGGGAGGCCCTTGGAAGCTAAGAACAGCCCAGCACCAGAGCCGCGATGGTTTCCCTCGGCCACGGCTTCCTTCTTGGTTTTTATTACACAGAGTTTCAAACGTGCACCAGATCATAGGAGGAAAGAACAGTGATTCTGCAGCTGCCCGCACCTGGCTGCACCCCACGGCGATGACAGCTCATTCTGGTCACTATGTTCAGTGCCTGATGGGGAGAGGGAGGAGAAAGAAAAGAAAATTAAAACGCATTGCACAAGATCTGGAGCACGTCGCCCCTCACGTCACACAGTTACTTCCCCTTCTGAACGCACACTGCAACAGTTCTAGTAAAAATTACACAGGATTGGTTTGGCCCAACTCCTCCTGGGTTCTGAATTTCAATGAAGATTTCAGAGAAATCATTAGGAAATGCCCCACAAGGAACCATCTCATTGCCACTTGCACTATTTCGGATGTGATTCTAAAACAACACTGATCGCTTATGCCAGGCTCATATTTTACACTGCTGGGGATTTTAACCACGTGTAACAAATTCCAGTAAGCGGCTTACAAGTTTCCCAGCTAAAGAAACGCTGGTGGTGGAGGGCTAGTGGGGAGGGTAGCAGAAGAGCCCACCGGGTTATGAGTTCTGTATTTCGGATGCTTCCAGAGAAAGACACCACCGGGTGGTGTTGGGGTACACCAGGGGGCCGGGTTCTGCAGGAACCGAAGGCACCTCTGTTCTCAAATGGGGAGGAAACACTGGACCATCTGTTTTGAGCCTCTCAACAGGTAACCTGTGACATCCCTCCCTCACCCTCATGTCGCTAATAACGGTTTTGTCAAAGTTTTGTTTTCTATCAGCAGGCAAAGATAA